AGCTAAATAACGCATGCCTAAAGAGACATGTGGTTTTAATTGAGGTTGTTCCGCAGTCAAACGCCCACTTGCCACGTATTGATCTGGCACGAAGCTCTTTCATTGTGTTTTAATGTGAAAAGGCAAGATTTTTCGAAGGAACACGGTATGAACAAAAGATGCCCGGATCCTAAAAACGCTGCTCAACCAAGATCCCCTTTAGATATGAATGAGTGGAAAAAAATCATACAGATAAGACAGATATAGCCTGAAATAAGCTGTTGATTTGACTTAAATTCAATCAAATCTATTGTTTTAGTTCCTTTCCAGCCTCCGCCTCATATTGTAGTCGCCCTATCTCGTCTTCTCTCCTAGGACTCATCATCCCCTTTATCGAGGTTGAGGTATAAACAATTGCTACTCGGATTAGCTATGTCATATCAAAGTTTGTCCAGATAAAAATTGTTTTATGATTCAGAACGAAACCGCTTGTCTTGAGTATAAAGCCTCTACCAGTATCAACTACGGAAAGAATGGGACAAAAAAATATATGTGCTTATTTCAGAGTTTGTGCTTGATCTATTGGGTTTTATCTAAAATACGACAGCAAAAGTACATGTGCAGGTATGTTGTTCAGCAAAACTACCTCCTTCTTTGTCCTTTTGTGCTTTAAAATGTACCTTATATGAGAAGATAACGCTCCAGGTTTGGTCATGTATATGCAACTTCTTTTAATTATTGACATTTTTTAGTCCCTGGAAGATTCTCTTTTTCAGGGGAGTCCTGGCCCCAGAGAGGGAGGGGACGGGAGTGGAGTTGGGGAGGGTGTTAGAGAGAACTATTGTTTTTAGAGGTAGGGGAAACCGGAGCACCAGGAGGAAACCAGAGCACTGCAAAAATTGGCATCATGCAACTTAATTTGAACACATTTTGACTGTCATTGAACAAGATTTGCCAATGGGACAAGCAAAATTATCTAAAAAGTTACAAGAAATGTCTTCCAATGAGAAAATAAAGCAACAGTTACCAAAATCAGACTAAATGGTTGTGTCTCATTGGCAAATCTTGTTTTAAGACAGTCAGAATGTGCTCAAGGTAAACTAAAAACCACTCGATTCAAGCAATTATTACCTCATATTCTATCCTTTCTTCCAGTGAGCACCTGGAGGAAACCGGAGCATCAGGAGAAAACCAAAGCGCCTAGGAGAAATCTACACGGGGAGAACATGCAAACTCCATGTGAAGCACAAGTCAACTTTATCATCAAAAGCTTAAATAAATATACATAATGGATCATTCTGGAGCTTTTCTTGATTTCAACGCTGGGTTAAAACGTATGATGCGATTATATGCTACTGCTGTTGGTGCGACCTCACATTACCACAGAAATGCAGATGGAAATCCAAAGAGCCGTGCACCAGAATTATAATTGTGCTGCTATTTGTCAACATGAAAACCTCTTCTAATGAGACCCTGAAATAAGATGCAAATGATATATTTTTGTTACAATCTATTCATTTCAATTACTGAAGATGTTTGCTGAGGCTTGTTGTGGATATCAGCACGCACATCTGCAGACCACATCACAATGCTTTTAGTTTGTAAATCCTCAGTGTTTTGATACTGTATTTGCATATTGTATATCTACATTGTATATGTATATTGCAAATGTATATTGTATATTGTAAATGTAAGGTATATGTAAATTGCATATGTTTAATGTAAATGTATATTGTATTTATAAATGTATAGTGGTAATGTGAAGAGAATCTGCAGTCTTGTTGATAACACTGTACTCTACATGCTTCTATCGGGAAAGGGAGGCTGTTCTCTGCTCATTATCAGTGAAGAAACCAGTTTTTTCTGTAACGGATGAGAGCACAGAACTGCTGGTCCAGTGATTGGCTGTCAGCAGCAGGAGGAATATCATGTATACAATACTAAGCATTATTTGTATAATGTTTGGTTCTTAAACCTTTGTGTTAAACGACAGAAAACAGCTCAGTCCTGTCTATGATGTCATAGTGTAAGGATTGGCAACAGTGAACTCTGTCTGAGATCAGATTTGTGAAAATTTGTGTCACAGTTGCTCAAAGTTGCTAGCATTAGAAGAAATCGACTCCAGGTGTGATAGTGTTTTAAACAACAGTTACTAAGAATGCAGAAGTAATAATCAAACTTTTATCACCCTTAATTGCACACATGGGCACTGAAGCTGAACCAGAGATGACATTCTATTAACACACACAAATTTGCAATAAATATAATTAAATTCAATGTATTTTTGTATCGCCCTAAATCACAACAGTCGTCTCGGAGGATATTACAGATTTGATGATTCACCAACAACAGATCAGAGAGTCAAACCGTTCAAACCAGGAAATGCAATAATAACAAACACATAGGAGCCATTGTTCCATAGGGATAGCAATAATTTAGTTGCATAAATGGCGACAAGACTTGATATTGTGTAAAAACTCAATCATAATCATCATTGTTTGGATTTGTTTACAGGTTCAAACAGTATTTTTCTCACTACAACTATTTAATTGCTGTTTTGTGGTCGATGCCGTCTTTTTTCTGTCCAGAGATCCAGTGGTTTCATTTTGAGGGTTTTTAAAGGGTGGGTGCATGGAGCCGGAGCAGTGGTCCATGTGACTGCTGCTGTGTGCAAGAAGCCAAACCCAAAGCACAAAACAAAGTGAGCTCCGCAAACCACAACCTCTGCACCCCCCACCCCCCCACCCCTGCCTATAGCCGCCCACGCCAGGAACACTCGCTGTTAATATGCTCCCTCTGTCCTTCCCTTCATCGTGGCTCTCTGATGCATCTTTACCTACAAACCTGCCTTTTTCTTGCTATTTCCTAAGTTGGCTCAAATCACAGCCGGTGTCAGGCAAGCCATTCAGCATCGCAAGACTACAAAACAGATACACCTTTTTAGACATTACTGAGCCGTAAGAGAAAATACACTCCTAAAAATTATACAATATGAGCTAATAATTGCTTGAATCCTGTGGTTATTTTATCCTAAAACAATATTTGCCAATGGGACAAAGCCATTTAGCCTTATTTCAAGAACTGTTGCTTTATTTCCTCATTCCAAGGGCAACATTTCTTGGAAGATAATTTTGCTTATCTTGTTTTAAGTCAGTCAAAATGTGCTTCGTACTTATTTTTCAACACTTTTTGCAGTGTAGTGGCTTGTTTTGAATGACAAAATACCTATACAGAGTGGCTGTATGTGCTAGAACCATAGACAGAAGCTAGAACTGGAAATGACATCTCGATCTATTTGAACTGCCTCGCTGGTTTCGACGCCGCCTACATCTACTGGAGGTAAAAAGGAGAGAAGACATGAAGGAGAAGCCATGCTGGTATGTACATAAGCTCACGTATTTGCAATTGGACGACCGTTATAAGATCAAGCCAGAGTAGGATGGATGAGCTGAAAACAACACGATAAGACCCCCGCAGCTCTTCTATGGATCGATGTTGCAACTTCATTAAAAGCTCAAAAAGTCACCATAATATGTGTTCTTTAAAATGCAAAGGTAGGGAACTGGGCAACACAGCGATGCCGTGGTAAGAGCGGGGTTAGACTGAGCTCTCCTCTGTAGACTTTGCATGTTCTCCTCGTGTCTCTCTGCTGTGTGAAACTATGGATGCATCCACTGACAAAGATGCATTCAAAACTACTGCCATTTTTATTTGCTCTATAATAAAAACATGGCAAACCATATTGGGCTTTGTAAATGAAAAGTAATGTCTTTACGATGCATTTTAAAAGCAAGGCCAGTTTATTGTACATACACAAGGCAACTCAAAGTTCTTAATAAAACAAGAAAAAAAGATAAATAATCACAGTACATCTTCAAGCATAATCTAAGGCTTGTGAGTCTATTTATGATGAAAAATACTGATAGCTCCAATAGTAACAATATGTATATATACATGTTATAATTTTGTTGGGGGGAAGGTCCTCAAACACAATGAATACTTACTACTTATGCAATTGTATCTGATAAAAAGCTGTAAACTCATCCACTAATGTGCAATTATTTGACAGTAATTTCTGTCATTTGAATTTGCAAAAGGGTTCTTGTCTCATTATTTTGTTCAATGCCAAATATCCATGTTTTTTTCCAAACGGTGCCCATCCTAAATCCGAATCTATTGAACAGTGAACAGGGCCACAGTAACAGAAGCAACTTACATTTACATAATCAAAAGCGAATGACTTCCAACTTTTTAACATGCTTTTGAATTGCTTGATTCTGATATTTCCACCCTGAGTGATCCAAATGTCTCTTTTCTAATCTCTTCATCCATCATTACAGCGCCACACTCGCCTCTTCATCCTTTCCTTTCAGGCATTTTCCCTGAAGGCACAATAACTGAGAAAACCCGAGATTTTCCGGTCTCCAGTTCATGTGAGACGCGCACGCATGCAGCATCACACTGAACTCCATTTTGTCTCGCTCACGAGGGGGAAGCCAGGGAGACCTTTTGGTGCGTGGACGCGCCGGAAAGACCACTCGCACTCACTCTCTCTGACATTCAGCTCAACGGGCCCCGAATTTATGAACAAAACATAGACTGAGAGGAAGCACGCAGGCCGGTCCGGGCACACAATGGCACGGCAGCGCATCGTTTGAAAATGCCACGCCATGATTTAACCGTAAAAACATCAGGGGAGGAGGGTATACAGGCTCCAGTGCGCACTCGGGCTTGCAAAGTTACAGCTGCTGGTGACTGCGTTTTTGCTCTGATCAATAAGCAACATATGAACGGGATTTAAAATAGGTTGGATAGTCAATGCAGGCCACCATTGCTGGAAATATTCTACGAGCACAATATGACGAAACAAGGCGTAAAGCCCTTAAGTCTACCCGTCAGCATCCTCTCCAACCTTCCCCTCATAACCATAGCTGCTGCTGCTGCTACTGGTGTTGCATGCATCATCCATAAACACGCTCAAAAACGAGCACATTTCCCCATTACGCACGGTATGTATTTACCTTTATGTCTGCCTTTCGCTGTCATCGTCACTGTGCTGGATGTTTCATTGGACCAAGATGCTAGAGTGTCCCTCTCTCCCTCTCCTCCTCCTGCCGCTGCTCTTTGCTACCACTCTCCCCCGTAGGTATTAGGCGATTCCCAAAGCCACCGCTAGGAGACGTGCGCGTAAATGGGGTTCATGCACCAGAGGGGAAATAACGTCTCGGCGCAACATATAAGCGCATAGAGGAGGTAGCGACGTCTTCCCTGTGGTATAAGATGGGGAAATGCCTCATGCAGCGAATACAAGAGTGAGGGAAGACCCTGATTATGGCGTATCAGGCAACTGCCTTCATCCTCCTCCCCCTCACCATCCTCATCCTCACTGCGCTCCCCATAATATGAACATGCGTAGTTTCGCCATTTGAGATTATTTCAATAGTTTTATTGTTGAAAGCACAGCTTATTTGTATGTGTATGTATATAAATAAAATGATATAATTAATATGTCTACAGTAATCAATATGACACAATATCACAGCAGGCTAAAGCCTATTGAATAATTGCAAACACACATTGAAAATATTTGTATTTTTCAGGTTGATTATTGAGATGAATGTAAATCCATTCCCAGATATGGCTCCTTCTCATGTATCTCATGTATGGATACTGAATCTCTTTGGGAGACATGACCATACATTATTTTATGAGGGGAAAAAAAACATCGAAAAATGCGTGCATTTGGTGCAATAACGGGGATGCAAAAAGATAAATGTATTGGGGTTGTTATGTTTTTGGCATGCGTACATTTGATCACCCGGTCAGCAGGACTCGCGTTGCTGTCGGTCATCCTGACCACAGAGGGGGGAACCAGGGGCTCTCCTCGCCTCTCCTCCTATCCTTTCTCCCAGTGGTCTATCTTCTTGTTGCTTCCAGCTGCCAAAGGCTGTCAGGGCGCTTCTGTGAGTCGGGATGCCACGGGATTCTCCGCTGCGCGTAGAGAGGAGGCAGCTGGCAGATGTGGCGATGTTTGTTGGAGGTGCGGCCGCAGAGGCATCACTTGTACATGCTCCGCGCCGCTCAGGACCGCCTGTGGTGCACTGGTGCTGACGGTGAGAGAGCAGAGGCAGAGAGCAGGCGCCTGTTGTGGCATGCTTGGCTCCAGATTCTTTGAGGGAGGGGGGATTGCGGGGCGGGTATAGGGGAAGACGCCTTGGAGCGAACGATGCCGTTTCCCTGATGTGTTGGTCCGTGCACTGGCAACACCCCTGCACACCCCGTTGTGCCCTTGAGCAATACTGCCGTCCCGTGGAAGCATTGATTACAGGGCTTTCACTGCGTTTATTGTAAGTAACTTCGTCACGTGGACGAACGCAAGGAAATAAACTTCAAAGAACGATATGGATGACACTGATCAGCTCAAAATAGAGGAAGGTCCACAGCTGCCTTTTTTATGTCTTAAGCCTTTCTACTTATTTTTTAAATGTTTTTTTTAATTGACATAAAAAATATTTATTGTCAAAAGGTGGACAAAAAAGTAAGAATATCTCCATGGACGCTATTGGCAGAAATGAAATAGAGCTTTCAGAAGATCTAATAATCCTGCAAAGGAATGGTTTCAACAAGTAATGATGTGCCCCATTTCTGAGAACAATCAGATTTTCACTAAATATATTTGTGTAATTGTGCAAACCCGATCATTATAATGAAAATGTGAGTGAATTGGATGGAGCTTGTTTCAATCACCACGGCTCAAATCGCTGATGGAGCACACGGAAAGAGAAGAGTGGAGACAGCAGACCGCCAACCAATTGTAGCCCTATTTCTATTCCCCAAAAGTAAAATCCATACACTTCCCTGAGTGTACAGCAGTTTGGAGCCACCGTTTGATTCTTTAGCGCCACCCTGTGTTCAGACTTGGATCTACCCGGACACCACTGGTGCCAGCTGCAGCACTACGTCATCAGCGTGCTTTGCCAGTCTGTGAGCTGCACATGCGCAGATACAGTTTAGGAGTCCAGCAGTCCCAATAAAAGCAGATCCGCCTTGTGTTTCTCGTATTTAAAAATTAAACAGTCTAGATAAATATCAAACTAAAAGCAAATGACAACGTAATAACCTTGTGTTCATTTGTATACTGCAGAGTAACCCTGCGTCTCTCAATTAACAAAACACTGGTGGAAGAAAGCCACAAAATAAACACGTGTTTGACAATCAATTATCAATGCATAGCCAACTATTACAAATGGTGTTGATTTACTTATAATGTAGGTTTCTTACCCAGAGAGAGCAGAAGACATGGGACTGTGTCACAAACATTCATGAGTCCATGCCCTGTCTAAATGCAGAATGTTGAATATTAAAGAATCTAGCGGATAAGAGAGAGATAAATACATTATCTTATTGTAGATCTTGCCAAAGTGGTGCATTCAAAGAAATGAGTAAACATTTACCACATCGAATTGGAGAAAAAAGGATAGAGCCTATAGATTTAAATGTGGAAAGTAATTGGAAAAATGTTCTTACAGAATCTTTTGCAATAGGTGCTGCCATATTATGTGGAAGCCTGCAGGATGAAAAATAACCAGGGCTATAAAAAACAAACCTTAAACTTACAGTAATTAGGTTTTTTTTTTAGGAAATTATACTTTTTAGTTTATAATAAACTTTTATTGATTGAGTGAGATGTGTGTACTATCCTCTTTGGAACAGAGAAACAGTTTATTTAAAAACATGTTAAAGCCGGATTGCATTTAAAAAACTGAGATGTGGGAGAAAGACAGGGGTGCGTTCAGAACAGAGCGAGAGGGGTGGATGGGTGTTGGGTCAGAGAATATTTGGGCCGGTGTGTGTGTATTGAGTTGTTTTTTTTTGCAATGTTTTTGGACAATTTTGTTCTGAATCACATTGTATTGAATGGGGTAGGAGGCTTGGAAGTGTATAGGTATCTGGTCTGGGAAAACAACATTAGACACAAATCACTTATATCACATGACGCAATATTGAAACTCTACAGCCTTTATTAACAAAGCAAAGTCATTCTCACCCATGTCTAATTTAGCAAATCAAACAAGCACAAAAAATCTTTCAAATCATCTCACATTATTTTTTTTCACATGACTTTGACCAATCAGGTGATATTGGATCATTTCCAAGGCACACTAATAAACATCTGGCACACTGGTTGCAAAACACTGCCTTAACCTTAACCTCAAGTGCCTTAGACATTGGCTGGTTATCGCAGGGCTTTCATCCCCACCGCTGTCAGACTGTACGAGAAGTCACTTTAATGACCTGCACTAAGACTGAAAAAAAACTGCTATACTCACTTTTAAGTTCACTTTTTTCTTACTGTACATAATATATCTTGCACAAGAGATGCTATATTTTCAACCATTTTAACACATTTTCACACTTCCTGTCTTTATGCACAACCTGAGTGATCCTATCTATGCCAAATGTGACATGTGCATTTCCCCATTGTGAGATCAACAACGTTTATCTTATCTTACCTTACCTTATATTGTGTAGGAGCCCGGGCGGATGTGGCTGCAGTCCCCTCTCGCTCCTACACTGGTGGAGCGCAGTGATTTGCTTTGGTTCGCCGCTGCAGCAGGGAGGAAGGACCGCGGGTCTAACCTTCTACTTTCGGTATCGCCTCGGCTTATCCCTCGGTGGCTCCGGGTTCGTTCTTCACACGGCCCTTTCGGAAGACTTCACGCCGGTTTATGAAACACAAACAAACACGTTCAAAGCAAAGGACAGTCGGAGCAGTCGCCATTTTACCAGCACGCTTTCCCTGGCAGAACCGCTAGCACAACAATGGCTCTCAAAAGAATTCACAAGGTAAGGAAGTGCAGCGGCGAGGCCCGGGGAATGGCTGGGTCTCTTCGGGGCTTCGATCAGAACTTCTCCCCACTAGCGTTGACCTGTTTGTCAGCTCTATTAAAGCTGTCGAATCTTTACGTCTGAGTCTAAACATGTAAATGCTAGGATTTCTACGCACAGCTAACGGTCTGGGAAGCGGCTAGCGACTGCAAGCGATGCGCAGATGTTGTGACATATTCGGTACCCCGTGCTAATGTGGACTCCCCGCGCGAGCCTCCACTGTTTTTGCTTATTTATTTTACACCATTTCTATATGAAAGTGTCATATAACATAATTTTACAAGCTTTTCATTATTGACGACTAAACTTTTGTTTTAGTTTCATTTAGACTATCAGATTATTTTTTCTATTGCCATTGTCAGTGATTAGGAAAATTTGCTAACTAAGATGATGCTTTGTCATTCTGGTGCAATATCAAAAATGACTAGTAAAAATATAGTTATATCGAGGTCCAAGTTTTTCATTCATAGTAAGTCGTAATAAATAATTTCAAAAGTGTACATACACGATAGACAGATGGATAAATGCTTATTTCATCCACCCTTGGGCAAACAAGTCTATGACAAGTGATGTGACAGAATTAGTGTTTGGTCACATGTGTGGCCTATTGCAGCAGAGTTGACTTTTTTTTTTTAAAGTAATTTGAGTGAGGTGAAATGTATAGTTTTGTGCAAGACTCTTAACTCAAGTTTCATTGCCTTACGCAGTTGGTATGTGGCAAGTATGGCATCTGGCATGTTTTCTCGACCTTACAGGGATTTCACATATTGTATAATCAGACAACATCATGCATATTAGACGCAGCTCTCATGCATCAGTTAGTATCTGATTTGTTGCACTTTGTTCTAGATCAGCGTGTGATGGCAGGAGTAGGTTAAGTTTGTATGCATGTGTAAATATTGTTGTTTTTGTATTCACATTTGGGCATGCCATTCCAGAGTCTTGAGCAGATTATGTATTTCTGTCAATACATGAACATATGAGTACACATGCTTAAAACATTTTAATGAGCTGTGAAATAGTTTTTTTTTAGGAAGGACAACGTGTCTCTTCCCCTAAAGCCTGAGCTAATTGGACGGAAACATGAATTTGTTTATTGCTAGTACTGCACTGACTCAAACCTATTTGTTTTCATAATAACTTGTGTTAAGTGTGGCTTCGACCATTTCTGTGGAATCATTCAAAGTTGCCAGCCACTTTGGTTATCTCTCAAAGTAAGAAATAAACACACACTTCTGTCAGTGTGCCCCAGGGCAGCTGTGGCTACAGTAGTAGTTCATCACCACTGTGTCTGGGGTGAAAGAATAATGACATGTGAAGCGTCTTTGAGTGTTCTGAAGAGCACTATATAAAACAGATTATTATTATTAGTATTTCACTATTTAACTATTACTATACCCAAAGTCGTGGTTGTTGAAATAATAAGTAGATTGTTTTGTGATCTCTTGTTTAACCTGTATGTGATTATCGTTGTTCACTAGTTGACAGAAGCACAGACTCCCAAGCTACTGCTCATTCTTTGGGATGCAGAGTTTGTCATTACACCTCTCCGCTTTTTGTATTATCCAGAGCGGCTACAAATGTCACAACCATACACCGTACAACCCGCAACAAACATCCATTGAGACCATTCGCGTGTTTACTGACATTTATCATGCAACAAATGTCATTATATCATAACGTACCTGTATGTCATAAATGAACAGTTAGCATCTAGTTGGTGGCTAATGTTTTTGTCCTAGTTTGATGCTAGCGCTAACACTGTTACGCTACAGAATTCCCCCGATGTGGAGTTGTATTTGCTTACAACAATTATTTTTACAATATTGTGCCACAAAGAAAATATTATATAACATTTATCCCGCTGTATGTTGGTATATCTGCTAAATGTGACTTCTGAATTCTGATTTACGGGATAAGTTAGCATTAGCATTAGCGGTGAGATCAAGCCTTGTGATCGGGCAAGCTAAAGCTGTCATGTAATCATGTTTTTATTCCTGTGACCAAATACTTTGTCATAATTGCAACTTATTTTTAGCTACATACCTACGTTTTAACACAATAATTAAAGCTTATTTTTATGGACAAAACCTGAATGATTTTTTCTTGATATATTTGTTTAAAAAAAATCTGCTTTTTTATTGTACATCGCGTGTTATTAGTAATTTCTTCTTCTCTATAGAAAGCTTGGAACACATTGTTATCTATGATTTTTTTTAAATAAACATACACGTTTTATGCATGCCCCACGCTTTGTTCGTTCCGTGTCTATCATGTAGTTATGTGTTATGGATGGTATGTTGTTTATGGCGTTGGTATCGTGTTGACCTAGGTTTACTCCCATAAAGTGAAACTGAAAATCGAAAGCGTATGTTGTCATTTTAACTGCATTGAGGCTGAACTGAGCAATGGCACTGCACGTGGTGTTGCAGAGACTGATGCAGCAATGACACTGTTTTAACCAGAGACATTGAAAGTTCAACTACAAAAATGTGTGTCATCCAGGTTATATGAGCTGTAAACATGCAAACTACACACAGGGAAATGTACTTTGCCACACAAGTAAAGGTGTGACTTTAACCAATGTTATGCAATGCCATCAAGCTATTCTTTGTCTAATTTTCTAGTTTGATAACAACAAATTGGACTTTATTAGAAATACATTATATTGTTAAAAAGAAAGGCATATCTTGTACGGCTTTAACATGAATGTGACTCTTGTTTTTGTGTGTCGTAGGAGTTAAATGATTTGGCACGGGATCCTCCAGCCCAGTGTTCGGCAGGACCAGTAGGAGATGACAGTAAGTAAAACTCAAAAGAAATCACTGTATACCGGTAGTGTTGTCTTTTGTGATATTCCTCTTGGACGCCTTTTTGTGATGGAAAACGCATGGTTTATGAATTGGAAATGATTATTGTCCACTCCAGGTATATTTTTTGTAATTGTAGGTAATACTCTGCAATTATGCTTCTATATAAATGTATAATATAACTTGTAGATTCAAGTGATGTGAATGCTTGTTATCATCCAAGGGGTAACACATTATATCATTTCATGGTACATGCAGGGCTCCAGACAAATTCTTTTACTTTAGTTTCAGTGCAGTGGCATGTTTTTAAAGCTGCTTAAATGCAGTGTAAAATAGTAATTGTCTGAAATGTACACATTCTCTCACCTCATGCTGCTTTCATATTATCAATACAGTTCCTATCCATTCAATGTAATTCAAAGGCACTAAAAACAAAAATGCTGCTTGTATTGCAATTCCACCTTGAGCTAAAACTCTTTAATCACTGTGTGCCAGAGACAGACGCCCACAGCAGTGTCCTGAAGATTAATATTGTTCACACATGTTGTACAGCGGAACCTTGATGATTCCTCCTGTATAAGAAATGCATTAGAAACTCAGTTGGTTTGCCTTATCTAGTAAAATTCAATTCAATCTATTCTTGTATAGCCCTAAATCACAGCAGCAGTTATCTCAGAGGACTTAAAGATATATATAGGAGGATTTTCTACTTCCGGGTGGATCATCAAGACTATTGGTCCTCCCAATTGTCAATCATTCTGCTGATACGTGCTCATCAAACAAGACCAGAGAGTTGTGTTCAAAAAGTGGAGAGGGCGGTTCTTTCCGAAGGTGCAATTTATACTCTGGAGCGACTTATGGCTGAATTTATTAATTTATTCAATATAATTTTAAATGTGATTTTTTTAAATGTATCCTAAAATATCAAATAATAGCCCGGGCTAATAATTTCAGCGAATAAGCTTTTAAAAATGCGACTTATACTCTAGTGCTACTTTATATGTTTTTTCCTTCTTTATTATGCATTTTTGGCTGGTGCGATTTATACTCCAGAGCGATTTATAATCCAAAAAATACGGATAATCTTAAAAATTGGAAAAGTGGTTTAGTTTTAAATTGCTTTCATAACAATAATAAACACATATGCTGTTGCCCCATGAACTTCACCCGTATAAGTTCAAAGACAGTAAGTTCTAGCAGCGCTGTTTTTATCTAATATGGTAAATAAAAACGCTGGTCCTGAGCTGTAAGATTGTTAGTATTGTTGGCGGATGGCTCTCATTATTTCCTTGAGCGGTGGCATATCGTGCGGCTGTTGAGTGGGATTCATGTGGGGAAAGGTATGTGGCTATTAAAAGAGCTGTGAGAGATCTGCTCGGGACTCTCATCACACCGCGGCAAACCTCCAACGCACACGCGATCAGTCCGCCGTCTCCGTTTGTCAAATCATGTATGTGCGTTGAATTTATTTATCCGCGGAAAAAAGTGGCAGCTATCAGGACCGTCCAGAAACACCGTCTGAACCTCCACACACCAGCGCAGCAGCCAGAAAAGTCTATTATTGCTCTTAAAAAATATGTATATAATAAATATCCTGTTTAATTATTTACTGGAGTTAGACTTGAAACGTACAACTGTTTTTCTAGCTTAATTTTTTTTCATTTGTTATTGTATTTTTGTGTTATTTTTAAACCAAACAAATCCACTAAGATGAGCTGAAATCATTATAAATAACAGTTAACCCTCATTAACTATCACTGCACACAATGAAGTCCATGCGATGTATCACACACTAGGTATGTTCATCCTATTCTTTCTGTCGTTAAACATTTAGGCAAGGTTATTTGTATAGCACTGTTCATACAAAAGGCAACTCAAAGTGCTGAACAAAACAAGAACATTAACCATAATCACAAAAGGCATGCAAATATAATAATAATCACAGTACATTAAAAATATTGAAGATACAGTCCTTTAGTTTTTAACCTGGATTTAAACATTGTCAGAGAATAATCCTGTCTCGCATTTTCAAGAAGATTGTTCCCGATTTTAGCAGCATGAATCTGAATCGTTACCTCCCCATGTTTAGTCCCGACCCTGGCACCACTTTACTGTTTTGTCAATTCTGATATAAGATACTAGAAACTAAAGTGAGATTATTTTATGAATTGACCTAATTTTTTACAGTTTTTGGAATAGGTTTAGTTATAACTCGATTTGTCCATGTATAGAAATATCCTCTAAACAGAAATATAAAGAAATGTCCTATTTATTCAATTCAGTCATTTCTTTTTACTGAACTTTTGAGCTTAGTGACTCTTGTGTGTTTTAATGGATTTCACCTGCAGCAAAAACTGTTCATATCCCCGACTTTAAATGAACAAAGTCTCAGCCATATTTTTTAGAATGGGTTTTTTCATATATAAATTGCTAAAAATTATCTTTAAGATGCAATTAATCACAATAAAAATTATAAGAATTAGACAATCTTTATTCGTCCCACAGTGGGGAAATTTCAATGTTGCTATGTTTCTTAGCTAGCTGTAAATCCTTCAATCTCAACATACTGTTTTATCTCCTCTACACATAGTGCAGCGTTATACATGTAGGACCAGATAATGAGTAGATAAAGTGACATTCAGTCTTACAGCAGCGGGAAGGAAAAACCTGTGGTACCTCTTCTTCACACAGCGAGGGTGAATAAGTCTGTCACTGAAGCTACTCTCCAGAAAAAAGGAGTATCTAAACTCCCGAATAACATGTTCAATGGATACAATCTGTCTTCTGTTGTTAAAAAAATGCACAGAAATAGTTCCCATTTTTAAACTAATAATACGTCGTACTATTTTAACACTTTTTGGATGCTCAAGATGCTTCACAAAGGGACCGGTTAATAGTTTTTTATGAGGGATGCTTTGAAGTCTTTTTTTTTTCTCTCTTATGTTGTGTTTTTATGGGATGGTGATCCACAGATGCTTTTATTGAGAATAAAAACATATATTTACTTGTATTCTTATGATAAAATAGTCATATTTCTGCGACGTTTGGCTGTCTATAGAAAATGTATATAATGGGTGTTTCTGTCACTGCGGCAGCACTAAAGCCACTTTCACTTATAAATCCTGCTTAAGTATACTTTATTTATGTTAAAAGCAGAGACGGCCTCTCCTGCTGCTCTGTTTCTTTCCTGAAACAAGTCGAATTGTAAATTGATAAAAGCATTAATAATAGAAACGTATCCGTGAAATCCACAAGTTTTAAATATCATCACCGCATTCATTTAGAAATTCAAGGCCTAGAAAGTTGACGCTGTGTTCTTCTGGGTTCACAGATGCAGGTTGATCTTAACTGTGTCCAAGTTAGATGATAGAATTAGATAGTTTTAAAATCTAAATGTAAACATGAATAGAAGGTTTTTGATCTGGTCAAACACCATCCATCAACCAGTTTTTTTTTGTAGTGAGTTTTATTCATTTCATTTGGAGTGCTTTTACTACACAGGCCAGATCACATAAGGCACAAATCATCACAAAAAAAAAAAAAAAAAAAACACCAACATCACCATTAACAACATAGAAATGAAAAGAAAAACATAAAAATCACACAAGGGATTGAAATAATAAATAACCACAGCACATTCAAAGGAGTAGATTAAATTGTGCACACAGGCAAACCGAACAAGACCTGGATTTGAACATAGTCAGAGAAAGAAGCCTGTCTCACATTTTCTAAAAGATTGTTCTGGATTTCAGCTGCATAAATCTAAAACGCTGCCTCCCCATGTTTAGTCGGATGGATGGATAGATTTCTTTTTATTCCAAGAAATTCAGGTGGAGCCAGTAGGATAAAAAATCACATTGACAACAAGACAATACCACAACACAAAGTTAATGCTCCAGAATAAAAAAATAAAAAATAACAGAATATTAAATCAACTCTAATTCTCTACTTTTACTGATTCCTCGTTTCCAAACCCGCAGATTAAAAACATGTTGGTGTAGTTTGTAACTGTGTTTTGTGATCTTTCTAGTGTTTCACTGGCAAGCCACAATAATGGGACCTGTAAGTATTCAACTGCCGCTGTTTTCCCCTGAAGCATTCTGGGTCGGGACTTCCAAGTTCACAATTGTCAGGGAAAAAGAAACACACAGACTAAACTCTTAAACACATTGTCTTTTGTCGTTCACCTGTAATAATCCTGTTTGTCCCATCAGAGTTTCACCAGTGTCTTTAAATCATGCAAAAGGTTTATTTATCCAACTTGAAGGCCCTTTGAGAATCTGAAATGGAAATACTGATTTAAAAAGAAAACTTATTTGTACTTTTTAACTGTATTTTAATGAATGACCATATAAGTGTTGGTTTTATACCAGTTCTTTTCTGTTGTAAAGCATTATTATCTTTATTATTATTATTGTTATTAACAACAATAATAGTGATATATATTAATAATAATGCATTTTTGTATTGACTCACTATTCATTCACTCCATGGCTGGTGAAGGTCCACTACTACTGTAGCCACAGCTGCCCTGGACAGCGGCACAGAGAGTGCAGCCACTGGTCCTGTGTGTAGTTTGCATGTTCTCCCTGTGCTCCGGTTCCCCGGCCACTAAAACATGTGCAGTAGTTCAGAGTGAGTGTTTGTGTGACAGTGACGATGCAAATCATCCCCAGGCAGGAGACAGGAGAGGTGTGTTCTTTAACATGCACTGTTCCAACCAAATAAACAATACATACATAAATACAATTATAGCAGCGCTTCTTGTCTCTGATGTTACGCCTCAGAATCCCCAGAATGCCTCAGGGCGGTGTTATTTTCTAACCGTATCACTGTTAAACACATGTTCTCTTGTGTCTGCTGCAGAACGACAGTCCTTACCAAAACGGGGTTTTCTTCTTGACCATACACTTCCCCACAGACTACCCCTTCAAACCCCCAAAGGTGAAACCTCCGCACCGCCTCATCTTTTACCTCTTTCATGTTTCATCTGTTTTCTTTCCTGATTTACAGGTTGCATTTACCACAAGAATATACCACCCAAATATCAACAGCAACGGCAGCATCTGTCTTGACATCCTGCGGTCACAGTGGTCTCCAGCTCTCACCATCTCCAAAGGTGCTCCTCCTGCTCCTCCTGTCTCTCACGCCCCACACACACATGTGTAGCAGAGAAAGATATATATATATATATATATATATATATATATATATATATATATATATATATATATATATATATATATATATATAGATAGTTATATGCACCACACACATATGTAGCAGAGAAAGATATTTATATATATATATATTAGTTATATGCACCACACACATGTGTAGCAGAGAAAGATGTATATTAGTTATATGCACCACACACATGTGTAGCAGAGAAAGATATTTATATATATATATATATTAGTTATATGCACCATACACATGTGTAGCAGAGAAAGATATATATTTATATATATATATATATATTAGTTATATGCACCACACACATGTGTAGCAGAGAAAGAAATTTATATATATATATATTAGTTATATGCACCACACACATGTGTAGCAGAGAAAGATATTTATATATATATATTAGTTATATGCACCACACACATATGTAGCAGAGAAAGATATATATATATATATATAGTTATATGCACCACACACATATGTAGCAGAGAAAGATATTTATATTGTCAATATAAACTACAGCGATCACCAAGATCAGTTTATATTCCCTGGTGATTTCGGGATGGCTGCTTTGAATATGTACTAAAGGTGACAACGGATGCTTTATCAAACCTTCAACCATCAGTGGAGAAGAATAACTGGTCTCATTAGATATTTTCTGCAAAATCCTCCAGTGTATGTAAACTTATTGGTTTGCCGATACATTCAATTCAATTTATTTTACGACCATCAACAAACAATGAACGGTTCAAAGACAGGAAATACAGTAATAACAAACACATAGGAGCCATTGTTCCACAGGGAGCGGGAAAACCAATGTCCATAAGTGTTCATGTATAATGTCTTGTTTTTTTGCCTCTGATTAGACACATTTGTCACTGAGCTTTTGTCTGCTAAATAAGGATACTAAACAGGAACACTGTTGATCAATATTAATCTGGAACGATATAATCTGTGCACGTCTGTCTTTTTATTGATTGGTGCAAGTCCCTTTACCGTAAACGTGGAAGTGCCTGATTGGCCGAGTGAGTGTGGTCCTCTTATTCACGTTTCTGTCCGGAAAAGCTGGTTTAATGTATGTGATGTCTCATTTTATGTGACGGAGGCCAAACATACATGTCATTAAACTAGTGATAGAACTGAACTGATTTGAGCACGAGAAATTAGTTGAGACTGTATTTATAGAATCACATCGTTAAAAAGTTGTGGTGGTTTGAAATTTGCGTACCACGGATTAGTTCCTCGATACAGAAGTAATACTAGCACCACTGTATTAATATATGGTTGTGTTTGTGTGTGTGTGTGTGTGTGTGTGCGCGCAGTCCTCCTGTCCATCTGCTCCCTGCTGTGTGATCCTAACCCAGACGACCCCTTAGTACCTGAGATCGCCCGCATCTACAAGACGGACAGGGAAAAGTAAGTCCCCTCCTTCTGCACCACTCACAACGGGACATTTTCTTTTTCAATTAAAGCCAGTAAAATGTGCCGAGATACGACTATTTGGATCATTGACTAGCAGCACAAAAGCATGTATCCGAGAACATTTCAGTGCTTTCTGACCTGTGCATTGTTCATTATCAAACATGGATTCTTGTCTGTCGTATTCAAGGCTTAAACGACTCGGGTTGAGATCGAAGATAACTGGAATAATGATTGACACATATCTGGATTTTACCATAGACTCTAAACATATATTTATACTTTATGTTTAATTTTTGTATCCTGCTATTTTTCATTTTGAAGATGAATGCAATAGTTCTGTGGTTGTTCATTTTGTCTCATGTTCTGCAATTTCAAAATGTCCACTGAATGTCACTTTATCTGCTCTATCCTGCCCCTTAGATAATTAACTTTTCACTATGTATAGAGAGAGATGTAGAGATGTTTCGAAAGATTGATAATGAAGCATTTACAGCTAGCTAAGAAACATAGCAGCTACTTATGTTATATGTGTGTGTTATTTGTGTGTTATTTGTGTGCTGCAACATTGAAATTTCCCCTCTGGGACAACTAAACGATCTCTTATTGTTTAAAGCTTAGGTAGAAAAACATGTAAAGTACTGCTTAATTACTTTGTTTGCTGCAGTCCTACTTAAGTGTTATTGAATTTATAAACTTGTAAGAATCTGGTTTTGGTGCTGGTGTTAACTTAGTAAATCATCTATGAAAAGGAACTCCCGCACATACATTTGTTCTGATAGATTCGCTCTGGCATTTTTCACTGACAGAGCTCGGGTCCAGACACGTTCGTAGCAACAATGAGAAATGTAAGAGGAGCCAAAGTGTCCGATATGTAATCATGATATGTAAGGATATACAGGAGCGCTCCCAGAGGCCTGTTCGCTTCACTATAATACTCACTGCTTTCTCTTCCATTGTTTTAGTGTTGGCATCAAATTTCAAAACAAGAATATACATATACACAAACTTGAGCCTTTTCTTATAAATCCAAAACCAAGCACCTGCCCTTTGGCGTTGTCTATTAGTAGTAAATGTTTGGGTGCCTCTTGTTCATCTGTGTAGTTTTTATGAAGTCATGGAGCCATAAACAAAAGTCGTGTTGATTTTAAATGCAGATGATGTTGATGATTCCAAACTCCTCCTTCTCAAATGCTCTGGTGACTCTGGTAAAACTGCTTTTGAACTTTCCCTGACTTGTATGTAGTTAATAGTTTGGGCTTCAGCGTCTGGGCCATATATCTGCAAAGCTTCGTTTTTGGCTGAAATCCGTGGACGGGAAACGTCCAGTCGATCTATAAGCCGTGCTCTTGGTCACGGATGCAAAGTACTGTCAGGATTTATGAACCTGAAACCATAATAATGATACTACCACTCAATGTTATTGATTCAGCATCGATCAGTGTCTGGAACCAGGGGACTGGGGCAGGGACTGGGGTAGAGACTGGAGCAGAGACTGGAGCAGGGACTGGGGCAGGGACTGGGGCAGAGACTGGGGCAGAGACTGGGGCAGAGACTGGAGCAGAGACTGGAGCAGAGACTGGAGCAGAGACTGGAGCAGAGACTGGAGCAGAGACTGGAGCAGAGACTGGAGCAGAGACTGGAGCAGAGACTGGAGCAGAGACTGGAGCAGAGACTGGAGCAGAGACTGGAGCAGAGACTGGAGCAGAGACTGGAGCAGAGACTGGAGCAGAGACTGGAGCAGAGACTGGAGCAGAGACTGGAGCAGAGACTGGAGCAGAGACTGGAGCAGAGACTGGAGCAGAGACTGGAGCAGAGACTGGAGCAGAGACTGGAGCAGAGACTGGAGCAGAGACTGGAGCAGAGACTGGAGCAGAGACTGGAGCAGAGACTGGAGCAGAGACTGGAGCAGAGACTGGAGCAGAGACTGGAGCAGAGACTGGAGCAGAGACTGGAGCAGAGACTGGAGCAGAGACTGGAGCAGAGACTGGAGCAGAGACTGGAGCAGAGACTGGAGCAGAGACTGGAGCAGAGACTGGAGCAGAGACTGGAGCAGAGACTGGAGCAGAGACTGGAGCAGAGACTGGAGCAGAGACTGGAGCAGAGACGGAGGAGACTGGAGCAGAGACTGGAGCAGAGACTGGAGCAGAGACTGGAGCAGAGACTGGAGCAGAGACTGGAGCAGAGGGACTTTTTTGCTTTTTAACATTTGATAGAATAATCTTTTATTCAACCAGAAGAATCCCACTGAGATCTTTTACAAGTGTCTCCTGGCCTACATTCATTCACAACAAAAACCCTTTAAACATGTCTTACAAAACATAGTTATAAAAACACAAACATATTAGCTGCACAATAACGACAACCGTTTCTATCCAATCTCTGCTCTTATTTTACTTTCTGAAAACGTGAATTACTGCTCAGAAACTGCGGGTGTCCAAACGCTTTGTTCTGCTGCTCTACACTGCACCTTTCCAAAAGCTCTGCATTGACCTCGAGGACGGGAGACGAGCCAAGTTTGAGTCAGAACGAGCCACAGTGTGTACAACGTCCTGCTGACAATGACAACGTATAAACTCATTGAGGAGTTTGTGAATGTGGTTTCAAAAAGGCTGTAGTCGGATAAAAAAGCATGGATTGTATACAGTAAATGCACGATTTGTTAAGACTAATATATTATGTTATGGACTACTGTTGTGCTTTTAATTACGTATTATGTAATTCTGGTAGAGTTGGATTTCTTGGTCATTCTTTAGGGAGTAAGACATATTTTCCATCTGTTACGTCTCACTTTGCACAATGCGAAACTCTAAAATTCGATAGTAAACATTTCGTACTGTCGATGAAACATTTACAATAATAATAATTTCAAGGGAAAATTATTATTCATGGAACTTATTATTTAATTTATTGTGGGGACATTTATACAGCTTTTTAGCTTTATTGACTAAACATTTATATTGTCTTGTGAGTGTGTTTTTTCTACTGCAGACTCCACCTGATCTAATCTAAATATAAACATTTTCCTTATAAAGTCCTGCCCCTAAACATTGTAGATCAGGGTTGTGTGGCCAATGGGTGGAGTCTGATGTGCTCCCACTTGGTTGGAATAAAAACCTGCTGCCCTTCGAGGACCGGTTTGTCCCCCCTGTTGTTACAAAACATCAAACCTGCTTCTTTTCCATCCGCCCATAGTTGAATATGATGGTATCAAGAAAATGCACTTTTGTTATTGTTTTATGGCCTTTCTCTATGACCACATCTTCAGAGCCCTTTTCTGCCATTTTTTAGACCAAAAGTATTGCCTTACAATAGTTAAATGATGTTAACTAACTGTGGCTTTAATCACAGCACTCAATGTTTGATGTTTATACAAAAATGTAAACACCTCCCTCTGGTGATTGAAATGAGTATTACAGGAGATTATTTATGATCCTTTTATACATTTGAATCCATGTTTCATACTTAAAACTACTATTTAAACTATACTTAGTAGTTGTAAGTATGTTTAGTATTATCACATTCTCAAACATGAAAAGTAAATGCCATAATCGGCTTTAATGGCAAAAAATAATGCAGGCTATTTGTTAAATTAATACAAAATATATTATCCGAGAAATGGCAACAGAAAGTAACGCCAGGTCCACAGTATGAAAAAAAAAAAAAACAATTTAAAACCGGCACAATATATTTCACATTCATCAACAATAGCTCAACTTTGTGTATAGTACAAATACAAGGTTTGAAAAGTGGTTGAATGAGGTAAAATGTTATTATCCCAACCCAGTCTTTTTGTAAAGTACATTATAATGTCTATGCACACAAATATGTAATTATCAGATTCAGATTCATTTACTTGCCATTTGCAGTAAAACCACATTGGAAAAACTGTGCAAGACTACCCCAGTGTGCACCAACGACACACACCAGAGCTCTTGCCACGGCGCCATTTGTAATGTATATTCTCACAGATTGAAGATAAACTACTTAACCTTTCATTCTTCTGTCTGTTTTGCAGGTACAACAAAATAGCTCGGGAATGGACACAAAAGTATGCAATGTAGTAATGGAGAGAAGATCACGGCCAACCACCTCTGCGACGCAAGGCTTAGGGGGAGCTTCAGATGTAAAGAGAAAAAAAAAATATCCATTACGACAAACTACAAACAAGTGAAACGTTTAAACAGGAACTTATTGGTTTCCTTTTGGAGTGCTTACTATGAGCTCGCCCTCATCCGAGTAAAACCATCCCTCGTTTGGCCTGTCCCAGTTCCTTCCGCCCCTAAATCGTGTACATAACCTCGCCCTAAATAGTAAAAAAAAACATCTATTACCACTTGGTTTTGTTCCTCCATCACTTTAAACATGTATTTTTTTTTTTTTTTTTGGGAAGGGACAGGCCGCAAAACTCTGGGGGATTTTTGTTACTCAACGTTCTTGTTTTTGCTATAAATTTCCATCCGTAGAACTGAGCAGGTCAAGAAGTTCTCTCTCGACGCGGCTTGAAGGGCACTCGCACTGTTTTGTGTTTTATACAAAGAGAAATCAACGCAGGCTATGTCAAACTAAAAAGAATTTGTTGCACATGGCAACTGTAGACTTAATATTTCTATGAACGGACTTGAATTCAACCCATGCACCTCTATATCTCTCTCTCTAGCTGTTTCTTCTTTTTTTCTTTCTCTGTCTCTTTTTTAAAAAAAAACTGAATTTGAACACATTCTTCTTCTTGTACATCACACTCGAGCGCACAACTGTAATGCCCCCATCACCAACCATTCTTGCCACACAAAATTGGAGGGTTTGGACCAGGTATTTAAGCAATTTATTTTCATTTAACCTGTGTTTTATTCCCCCCCAATCTTTCCCCATATCTCCTAGTTTATTTTTTATTTTTGGACTATTTTTCTTTGCCTATTAAACTAGAAGCTAACATCTTAAACGACTATGGGACTGGTTGGGCTCTGGGTGCGAGGAGAACCCACTCTTCTTGCACAAACCTCTGTATATTGAATTACCTGAGAGGCTCGTTGAGCTTTGTGTGTTGATTAAACTGTGTAATAAAATTGCCCGGCTCATGAGTGTGTCTTTTCCACAACACAAATACTGTTAGTGGTTCTATGGGGTTAATCAGGGATGGGCAGTTATCGTCACATGGGAGCCACATTGGGATAGAGCTGTGTAGTGGAGAGCCAAGCCAATTTTCAACCTGTTATTTTTATTTTGATACACATTTGATTTAGAAATATACTATTTTTCATCATTTATATGTTTTGCCTTTTGATAATGTTAAATGTTCATGGAGCAGACGGGCACACATCTGAACCTTTTAGACTTTTTATGAACGGCACCCTTTTCTCCACATAAACTCTGCTACAAGAAGAGCAGTGGTACAGGAGTGACAATGTTTACCAATTTAGCTTGTCTAAATATAAGAATTCTTTAGATTTATTAACAGTTGGAAATCATCTGAAGGCCAGATAGAATCCTTAAAGGGGCTGTATGTACCCAGGTCTGGATATACACATTAAATTATTAATGTCTCACTAGAATCCATCAGTTTTACTTTTATCTATGTGTGTGTTTAGAAATTTAACAATGGAATACAGTTGTCGCAAGTAAGCCCTACGCTCCCTGTCTATTTTCTCTAAAACTACTGGGGGAATTATCAAACTGACTGTTTTTGAACCCCATGGAATACAAAATGGATGGACTCCTGTGAAGCCGGGGCCCTGTACTTGTGGCCTCTGGTGCCTCATTTAGTTTAATTATAAGTTGGAACAATCTCTGTACATAGAAAGATCACGCTCAAATCTGTGGGTAAATATAAAGACGGTACAGCAGGTGTCTGGTATTTTCAATTCCCCTTCCACAACTGAGGGAAGTTTCACTGAAAATTAGATTGCTATAATAGTTCAACCGGCTCAAAGAAAATACTTGCTTGATTACTTTCCCCACTACCAAAAACACGCTCAAGATCAAACTGTACTGTCGTTTATATGATCCGATTTTTTATAGTAATCCACACAAATTACAAGTTTAATTGTGTCTTTGAATCCATGGAATGTCTGGGGTTTATTAATCATGGCTATTTTCATGTTTCGTCGTCTTCTCTTTTTACTATTGTTTCCTCCACTTTGTTTCCCCAACCTTCAAAGAGTTAATAACAAGGATCTATTATAACAGGTTAAAAGTACAAGGTGAGGTGAATACTGCCCTCTGGTGGCCTTCTTCTCTTTGGCACCAAGGATCTAATCGACTGTAAATGTTATGTGTACCTTGCCAGTTATTATAGATCCATGACCTTGCCACACAGGTTTATATTATGACTTATGATTATGGGCTAGTAACATATTAAAGGTAGGGTTTGATTACGGTACTTGATCATTGGCCTTTGTTAGAATGAACCTTTATGCATTTCAACCCAAAACTAAAAAAAGAAAAACTATATGTAAGCATTGTGGGCCTAACATGTATAATAATATTAACTGTAATAAAAAAATGAAAATAATGATAATAATAACGATACCAATAAAAAGTTGATAATAATAATACAAATGATGATTATTAAAAACAATAATGATAATAACAACAATGTTGATCGCTACTTCCGGGTTATGACGTAGATATGACGCAACACCACTCCCCTCCTGACGCTCCTGACGCTCCTGACGCATGCTCCAGGGTTCACATAAGGCGAGTTTGACCTTCTGTTGCTGCTCCTGCTGCTCCTCCTGCTGTTTCTCCTGCTCCTGCTGCACCTGCTGAGGACCCACAAGCATCCCGATCAAACATGTCTACAGCCGCAGTGCCACAGTCATCCGGGTTGAGTATATCCAAAGGTACAGCAGGAAAATCCAGGGTAATCCAGCGGTAATGTTTTGTAATCTGACGCCACACAAAAGACCCCTGTGTTGACATCAATGTTCACCTGAAATCGCAGCGTCACTTTACAAACAAACTGTGCATCAGTCCTTGTTCAAATGCGTGCTGGATTGTTGTTAATGTAAAGTATGTTGCGTTAGCTAGCACACTATGATAACTAACTAGCTAGCTGCATGCTAACACTTCTGCAGCCTCCACATGTCCTCATAAAAACTCATCTCTATATTTAAAGCAGTAGTATTTGCGTGTGTGTCACTGTTGTTGTGTTGTATTGGTATCGTAGAGGCTTTCTTGTGGTGAAACTAATTGATTTGAAAATGCAGTCTATCAGCAGGGGGTCCCAGTATCATGTGATGCTCATTGGACCTGGATAATCCCTTCTCCATGGAGCCTAGAAGAGTCCAGTTTTGTTATACTCAAGTTTCCCCAAAGACCAGGACGAAATGCTACATATGAGCAGCATGACTCAGCAGAAAAGTGTTTGCTATCTTTTTAAACTGAGAAACTATGAGTGGAGGTGTCGTTTAGTTCATGGACAACGTTTGTCTATTTTCTATTTTAAGTTGTCATTTTCATCTTTCAGTGACTCTAATACATTCACAGTGGTAAAAGTTTAATTACAAAATAAATACTGACATAAGTATGTAATCCCCCCTCCTCACCCTCCACACCTCTCACCCATCCACTCTCCCACCTACCTACTCACCCTCCCACCTTACACCTCTCATCCATTCATCCTCCGGCCTTTCCCCCAGAGAATGGACTTTAGAGCAAGTCTTACCATAGCCTCGCACCAAAGTACATCTGTGACATGTTGGTGCCATGTGTGAACCAACTGGGTCTCTGCCCAGGGTCAGGACTAAACATGGAGAGGCAGCGTTTCAGATTTATGCAGCCACAATTTAGAATAGTCTTCCTGAAATTGAGAGACTGGTTTTTGATTGTATCATAAAATTCCATTTATAAAGCCAGTGAGATGGTCATTTGTCATTCAGCCAGCTTCAGCTCCGTCGTAGCTAATTGTTTGTCCCCGGTTAACTAAAGTGTCCCTCTCACTATACATTTTGGACTTGTTTCCTCTTTGTCTCCTCTCCTCAGAGCACTTCCTGGTGGCAGTCCCGGTGGCGCTGGTTGCTGGTGTGGGTGGGTTCCTGGTCAGTCGGTACCTGCAGAAGAGCTGCAGTAAGAAGGACCAGGTGAACCGCACCATCGACAAAGACAGCCCCAAAGTGGTGCACAGCTTTGACATGGAGGATATCGGCTCCAAGGCGGTCTACTGTCGCTGCTGGAAGTCCAAGAAGGTTGGTTTGACCTTTTTTATTTTTAATATCAGACGGCCAAACGTGTCTTGCTTTTGCAAACGTGTTTCTAGTCCTTTTTTCTTTGATTTCTGAATAGATTGAATGCAGCCTTTTTAAATGCCCAACATATGAAGTTGAATATGAGACGTTTGAGACTTAAACCATGTTAAAACATTGTCACAACATTCCCTAATCATAAACTGTCTGGGGTTGTTTTTTGATCCTTCCACACTAATATCAGTATGTTCTGGCACAAAAGTGTAACTCCGCCCCTTCTGTCTAAAGCTCCTGCCTCAGACTTTCCAAAATTCTTCCTGTAAAGGGCATAGTCACCTTTACTACATATTCTTGGATATTTCTGTGAATTTTTCTGGACATAAACGCAGTAATTATAAATAGATTTTTGGTCTAAATTTTTCTTTTTGCGAAATAAAACCTTCCGTGTGATATAAAACGCAGTCTATTGGTCTATTGTTTTAATTTCATTAGGACCCAATACATGTCAGTTACGCAAACTCTGGACCTCGTGCTGAAACTGAGGCTTGGTCCATGATCCCAGAGTTTCCCAGTTGAGTGTTTTTCATTCCCAGTGGAAATTCGCATCTTGTTTTTGAAGTTATGTTCTTTGCAATCACATCAGTTTGCTTATTTTACAAACTAACTCAATTCAACACCTCCCTCTGGTGGCAGCGTAGGGAGTTACAGGTGGAAAACATTTTTTTTACCCTTAATTTTCTTTGTACAATCTATTACATTTTTCTTTTAAATAATTTCACACGTTCTAAAACCATGAAATGACAAAACACTCATTTTCATTTTGAAAGGCCAGATATAATGTAGAATATGTATTTGCTAGTAATTTTATATGGACATAAAGCTGTGTGTGTTGTGTGACCTGCTTTTTATTAATTGATTGCCTCCACGACTCACTCATTTCAAACCTTAGATAAGTCTCTTGTATATTCAGTGTTGGCCAGTAACGGAATACACCATTACGTATATTCAGAATAACTTGTAAGTTGTACAACAATCACTGATGAAATGGTACAAAAGCAACGCACTGCTAACAAAATATATCGCTGAAAGATGACTGCTAGTTCCGCGTCCGAATGTGGTCCGAGCGTAGATAGTCCGAGGCGGTCCCGCAGGTCCCTCCTATAGACAAGTCTCTCCAGAGGATACGATGTAAGCTAGCTATGTTCACCCGGGCTTTATTTCTTCGCTTTAGTTCCCTCTTCTCTTCCTCCCTGTTATGTCGTTTGGGCTGTTTTTCTGTGTATGCAGTTTGATATTGGAATGTAACTTAAGTTATCATTTTGGTAAATCATATGTGGCTATGTGCTGAATGCTCTGTATTGTAATTCACTTTAGCTCCAGCAAAACTCCGGGAGGTCTGGGGAGCTCATATGCTAAGTGTCTTTTGTTGTGTTGGTTTCTTCCTTTACCATCTGCATACGGGGGTGTGTCTTGCTCTACCAAAAGGGGCTTGTAGACTGTGAATCTTCAGACTTGTCCTGAGAGAGGCTAGGGTCTGTGCCTTGCCTCTGTCAAGACATTCTCCTTGTACAATGTAACAAGTAAAAGATTAACTTTGTCTCTTTGTTGTGTGAGATTTCATCCGGTTCAACTGTGGTTGAAACAACATTATCAAGTTACAGCCAGAGGAGTTATAGCCAATTCTGCTAATATGCTACTGTGTTTAGCAACGCTGTAGAAGCTAGAGGACGCAGCCTCGTTCTGTGATTGGAGGAGAGTGAGCATCACGCTAAGTCTCTACTCGGCACTTTTTACGGCCTCAAGTTTTCAATTAAATTACGGATTATAATACAACTTGTATGTAGTGATTAGCATTTTTATGAACTCATTTAAAGACAAATCGGGTATAGCTTCTTTAATCTTTAGATATGTCTCTTGTACATTGGTTCTAACGAGTGTCTCTGTGATCTGCTTTAGTTCCCGTACTGTGACGGGGCCCACGCCAAACACAACGACGAGACCGGGGACAACGTGGGACCTCTCATCATCAAGAAGAAGGACCCGTAGTCCAGTATTCAGGCCGTCACGCACCACATCCACCGCTAGTGTTGCTTTAAACAAAAAATAATCTATTTGAAGAGAATATAATTAACTTCTATTTTGCTATTATGTCTTATGTGTGATGTTGTAAATGTTTGCACAGATGAGGAAATGACAATCTTTCAGGAAACGTGATGCAGCAGTGTTTCAAAACTATTTTTAACCTGTCTTTAGTCACAGTCCATGGAGGAAGTAGGTTTAAGTGAATTACTGTGGAACATGGTAATGGGATAACGGAGAATCTGTGAACTGGACCTTTGACTCTCACTACACTTTGTCATGACTTCATTAAACAGATCTTTTGGTATTCCTTGTTTGGGCTCGTATTTTAAAAGGCTACACTACCTAAAATGAGGCTGAAAGATTGATTACAAGACAATTACTTTCATTGTCAAATCAACTTTAAGGCACTAAAATGATGTTACTCACAGCAAATCTGTTTTCTTCCAATTGAATTATGGCATTTTGTTTGTAATTCACTTGTAAAACATCAAATCTTAACCAGTGAAATTGTGTAGAGCTGATACAGGCTGAAATGTCTGCTGTCAAAGGGTGGGGTCATTCTGTCAGATGCCTCGCCTTATATCTGTATTTTATTTTTATATATCATGGGATTTGCCACAAGAATGAAATGGCATCTTAATTTAGATTTTCAAACTTTCTTTTGATTTATTTAGTGCATATAATGGGGCAGGCTGACTGAGGGAAGTCTGTGCCACCGGCCTCTGACCAACACACACCAGACTCACTCTAGGCAACGTGGGGGAAGTGTCTTGCACAAGGACAAAACTGTTGCAAGCAATTTTTAATACACTATACAATAAAATGTATTCTTGTATAGCCCTAAATCACAGCAGCAGCAGTCATCTCAGGACTTATCAACAGTTAAGACAGAACAAATATAGAACACCTTGTTATGAACCATAGGGAGAGACCAATGTCCATGAATGATTGTCCGTACATGTTGTAGAATGTAGTGTCCTGGATCATCACCTGTGCTTCTTGTTGGACACTAACAGTCTGACAGACTCCTGCATCAGAGGAAAAACTCTGAAACCTAGTGTGAGAAAAGTGAGAAACCTCGGGGAGACCCACTTTGAGAGATCCGCTCCACCCGGACGGACGGGCTTTAGATCCAGGACCTAAGCTACGCATCTCAGGACTCAGACTGTAGAACGAGGACCGAGGCTGTACATCCAGGACCTGAGCTACAGAACGAGGACCACGGCCACGCAGCGGTTGTAGAACGAGGACAGCTGGGATACCTGATTTTCAAATCACAGAAATGTTATAAAATCCATCTTAACAAGTCCTAAAAACAGTTTGCTCCTGTCACATGTTTGCATTGTTGGCCTCTGTCACATCTTTGGATCTGTCCAAAGTCGCACGGTTCTAGTATGAAACTTGTTTATCATAAGAGGAAGAAGAAAAGTTGTCTAGATTGTTGAATTGTCTGAATGAACAAGAGTCTACCTTTTACAAGACTTTCTGTCCAAACATGTTATTTTAGCAACAATAAAGTTAGGTACCCCAGCTTTAAGGAACACAGAGGCTCCACTGGAACAGCCCAAAGACATGACTGTAACAAGGCGCTATTGTCCGTCTGCAAACAAGGATGCTGGTGTTATGCTAATGACACGATGATGTCATTAGCTCGCTGGTTTTAAGCTAATGTTTCAGCTTTGTCTTCAGCTTTCACGTGCATTGATTTGTAGTTTTCATAAATAAACCAAGAAAATGAACATCAGATCCCACAGTCTGACATTTAAATTGTTATGGTTGATGCTGATGCTTGATTATCTTGATTATTAGATATATTTTATCAGTCCTCACTCTAAAGTCTGAGTCCTGGATCTACAGCCTGTTTGTCTGTGTGAGCGGATCCTTGAAGTCCTCACTTTTCAACAAATGTAAGTGGTCTGATATCTGCTCCTCAATTCAATTCAAATCCATTTATTTTACGTTGGCCAAAATCACAACAGCAGTGGTCTTGGAAGACTTTACAAAGTTGTCAATTCATCAATCAGATCTGAGAATCAAACAGTTCAAACACAGGAAATGCAACAATAAAAACAGTCAGAGCCATTGGTCTTTAAAGGGCAGATGACACAATGGACATTTAACGACATTTATGGACCTTTAACGTCCATAAATGTCGTTAAATGTCCCGGATCATCACCACTCCTCATGATGGATACTTTATTCCTTTACTTTAAAAGTCAGTTTGTTTTTTAAAATTCCTCTAAAAACTTAGAAACCTCTATAATATAACTATTTTTGAATTATGCTGACATGGAACGCCATAACCAAGTGGCTGCATAGTGTACAGAAACATCTGTGCAGAGTATGGGCTGGAAACTCCAAGGTCTAAGTGGGAAACTCCTCCAAAGGTGGTGGAGAATGAGCGTGCAAAGATCCTGTGGGACTTCCAGATACAGACCGACCCGAGCTACAGAACGAGGACCACGGCCACGCAGCGTGGTCCTCGTTCTCCTGTGAAGATCCTGTGGGACTTCCAGATACAGAATGTGAGACTCAGATCTGCAGTGAAAAGGCGGTATATAAATAAAAACTTACTTACTTACTTACCGACCGAATGGTAATGGCGAACCAACCTGACATTGTGGTGGTGGACAAAGGGCAGAGGACAGCCGTGGTGGTGGATGTGGCAATTCCAAGCGATGGTAACATCAGGAAAAAAGAACATGAAAAGCTTGAGAAAGCTCAGAGAGGAGCTGGAGAGGGCCTGGAGGGTAAAGGTGACAGTAGTGCCCGTGGTGATCGGTGCACTCGGGGCAGTGATCCCGAAGCTGGAGGAGGTTACAGAGGATCCCTGAAACAACCTCGGAAATCTTGGTCCAGAAATGTGCAGTGCAGGAACAGCAAAGATACTGCGCAGAACCCTCAAGCTCCCAGGCCTATCTCCAGGCAAAAGAATGAAGGATCTTTCATGAGGCCTATGTGCAGTCATGTTAAAACTGTACTTTTTCACCTGACGTTTTGGTTTCTGAAGGTCAAAGCAAACGCATCTCTTGGCGAAGGAGATCCTGTTTGTCATTATCGGTTCTTAATTTTCCTCACTAACTGCCTTTATCAATTAAAACTTCTTTTACACTGTATTAAGGCCATACCTGCAAGTGAAAGCCAGATCCTGCTAGACCCCTGAAGCTGGGCAGGGTCTGGTTAGAACTGTGATGGGAGACCTCTGGGAACACCAGGTGCTGCAGTAGGGTGCGTGGCTTAAAGTGCCAGTCTGTATTTGTGTCCTTTGGCAAAACACGTTACCCATATTGCCCGGGATGAGTGTTATGTATTTATTTATTTGTTCCTTTCATGAAAATGCTTTGTTCACATAATGATAATAGTTACTGCGTGTGTGTGCGTGCGCATGTATGAGAATGGTTGGGAATGGTGGTGGGAGGGGCCAATGTTTGCCTCTCTTCTGTCAGTGTGCCCCAGGGCAGCTCTGGCTACAGTATCATCACTTTGTATTGAGTGAAAGAATAATGACAAGCATCTTTGATGATCCAAAAAGCGCTCATAAAACCCATGCATTTTTAATAAAAAGATCAAATATGAGAAACAGACTGTGCATAAACCTGTTGAATGAAAGTGTGTGTTTGTGTTGGTTCCTGCAGTTTGAGGACGTCCATGTGTGCAGAGCCTCAGAACAGGTTTGATCACCTGTGCGCAGGATGTTGTGCCCTTATATGGTCACCTGCAGGTGGTAGATCTGCGGAGGTCACTGTCCACTGTCACTGTACTGAAATGACCGTTAGACCCGTGCACGAGCATGTCTCTTTAAACACGGCCCACTGTCAGTCTGTAGCACGAGACTCTCCCTGGCCTCGTGCGTGAGTGAGGGGGAGGGGGGTCACCCTGCAGTGTCCGGGGGCTCCGTGTGCAGGGGACGGGGGCAGTGTCCACGACTGACCGCTAGAAGACGCTGTGTGCACGCGGATAGCGCTGACCAGAGTGTGTGTGTGTGTGTGTGTGTGTGTGTGTGTGTGTGTCTATAGTGTGTACGTATGTGTATGTGTGTGTGTCTGTCTGTGGTGGGTGTGTGCTTGTGGTGTGTGTGTGCGTGTGTGTCTATGTGTGTGTGTACGTGTGGTTGGTGTGAGAGCACGGTGGGCCCCTGCTCCCGTAGTGACACGCACACGCGCACGCGGGCGCGCACGCGCTGGCTCGGTGCCAGATGCAGCAGGACTCTCACAAGAGGCGGAGTGGAGTCCGGCCGCAGCGAGAGGAGTCCCGGTCACATTGTGCTGCACACATGAGTGTTTGAGTCTACTCCATGGATCTATTACAATGTCTACTCTCTGTTTACAGCACGTGCAGCCTATGGAAGAACCCGGAAATGAGCTGCAACTGCCACTGGGAGTAACCATAAAAACATGAATGAACTGAGTCTAATAAAGGCATCTGAGGAAGAAGGAGGGGTTCTGCTGTGAGCTTCCCCCGCGCCCTCCTCACACATGTGTAAGCCATGTATCAGCTTTATAATGTTATTTATGACATGTTATTGTACATATGTTTGAGATCTACACAACAATATAAATCCCACTACAGTAATGTCAAAATAGAAGTGTATACTATTGAGACTAGGGATATAGTATTAGTATCGACGTGGATGTCTTAGTAACATGTAATAACCTATTTAAATAATTTGTTGAACAGCGACATGATTGTCATTTCATCATTGTTTTGTGATGTCTTCTTTGTCTGTTCAAAACCAACACTTGACAATAAGAACAATAGCATGAGAGAGTCCGGGTTCAGAGCTGACTAAACCTTAGACCTCAAGTGTCAGTCACACACACAGCAGTGTTTAATACATACAGAACACTTCATTACAGGCCAATTACAACCTTTGCAAAATGTAAACACGTGAAACTGAGTCAAGTACGTGTGTTGAATTGTTAATGGTTGACATCACCCTGAACCCCAGATATTGGGCCAACGTCCTCTTCTTTAGGTGTCTAGGTGTTGGCTCCAGCTTTCCCAGGACCAGGGTTAAAGCATCCTACATTTAGTAAGTAAGTAAGTAAGTTTTTATTTATATACCGCCTTTTCACTGCAGATCTGAGTCTCAAAGCGGTTTACAATTGTTAATTTTGGGCATTTGTCTCTCACTCCACACAGAGATGGGAGCGGGGTCGCCAGTACAGGAAGAACATGCCAGAACTATTGTACATATTTTTAGTGGTAGGGGAAACCGGAGTACCCGGAGGAAACCTACGCAGACACAGGGAGAACATGCAAACTCCACTCAGAAAGGCCCTGGTCCGACCGGGATTCGAACCCAGGACCTTCTTGCTGAGAGGCGAGAGTGCTATCCACTCAGCCACCGTGCCGCCACGGTGGCTGAGTGGATAGGGGACAAACATCAACAACAACAAAGTGCTTTCTGTTTGATCTAACTGTTTGTTTATTATGATCAAATGTTATTATAGCCTTCACAATTATATAAGAACCCAAACTCCCGCTTGTAACAGTTTGACTGGACACAGTGTCAGTTTTTGAAGTAAATACGGTTTTTTTTCTTGTAACAATGTAACTAATCATCGTTGACATGATCCACTTAGATCTATTGAACTCAATTCAATACATCTTTTGGCGTAATCGTAGTGTAAATACGATGGAGCAGCTTCCACATGACGCAGAGTTAGAGTCATACATGTGTTTGTGTTGTTATTTGCATTTCAAATGCTGTGGATGAGTTTGTGGATGAGACTCAGGTCAGTGAGAGCAGCACAGACACTTCCTCGACTGGATCCTCCGCTTCTTACGTGTGATTCATTCATTCACACGCTCACTCGTACATACATAAATACACACGCACACATTCATACATATGCGCCGTGCACGCGTCTCGGCGCACGCGTCTGCGTGTTGTTTTGTCCTCTCTGGGTCCCGCGGACACAGCCGCCTCAGTCCACTTCCCGGGTGGCTCTCTGTGGCCGCGGCGCTCGGAGTCCACTTCGCGTTTTGAACGACGCCCCCAAATTCCGTGCCGAGTGTTTGAGACCCTCCGGGACGGAGAGGTGGAGGAGGAACCGCAGCTCCGCCGTCCGCCTCGCCTCGCTCCAGCCGCGGCCATTACTTTGGGACTTTACGGCGGCTCTGACAGCAGAAAGCAGACAGACCCGTGAAGGTGAGCCCCGTGTTTGCCTCTCACTTCCTGTTGATTGGAGCTGTTTTTGTTTGTCGCCTTTTCGTGCGCGTCCGTGTCGCAGCGGCCGCTCGGACTGTGGTCAGCGCCGCGGCGTCAGTGAGCACCGTGTCTTAGGTAACCCTCCAAACCACGGACTGACCGACAGGGCCGAGTGACCAGCGGGAGGTAAAACTATGCGCTCTTTTCACACTAGAAACGTGCACTTTTGGCCATGAGGACAGTTTTAATGAGCGCGGACTCACACTGGGCTCTTTTTTGTACCCACCGCACTGCATCGTTGCGCACCTCGCTCCTTGTCGTCGATACCAGACAAAAGACAGGCTGTTTTTCACGCTCCGGTGTGTGCTGTGGCTCTCGTCTGCTGGAGCCGCGGATGGCACACATAACAGCAGTCGTCAAAATGTATTTGAAAATCGCGCTCCACATTTGACCTGCGCATATGCGCATATCTTTGCATATTGTTGTCGCTCTGTTATTGATTGCATTGATATACCGTGAAATTCTTAAAGGGATACTGCCTCCTGTATGCGGAAATCATTGCCAGCGCACACAGCGTGTTTCTACTATGGGGCTTTTCTGTATTTCTCTACTAAAAGCATTTAAAACACGTCTAAATCCTTTATGTTTTAACAGCAGTATTTAGACTCGTGGTGCAGGGGCCAGTGCGGCTGCGTTACATTTCTGTGTGGACTGTCCCTCCAGCAGTGCTCTATTCTTAACCTGTCTCTTCTGTTCACTCCAGCGCTCCAGGGCTGAGCTGCAGAGAATGGGAATAGGGACCCGGGCCAAGGCTTTTGGCTGAAGCAGCAGCAGCGCAGCTCGACCCCTCTGTCCCTCACCCACACTCTCCAGGACCGACCCAAACGCACCATGTCCACAGCTGTCGACATGGCGGGCCCCTCGTCTCCAGACCAGGCCCACAGCAGCAGCACTAAAATCCCCCATGAGCCCCTGCGGCCCAGTCTGAGGCGCTCCAGTCACCCCTACAGCCTTTCCCACTACATGAGCGGCCCTCAGGAGGTGAAGGGCCCTCAGCCCTCAGAGGCTCCGGAGCAGAAGAGTGCTCAGCAGTCCCACAAAGCGCGCAGGGCTCCTGTGGCCGTGTGGCCCGACATGTGGGAGTCCCCCAGCGGCCTGCACCTGGCCCACGCCGCAGAGCTCCTGATGCGGGCCGGTCTACTGGCCCTGACCCCCGCCGCAGCAGAGCAGGCTTCAGGGGCCCAGCCCGGGGCTCCCAGGCGGGACAGTGCAGAGGCGAAGAGGGCTGAGGGCTCGGGCCCTGAGGAAGAAGAGGACGACTCACCTGGATGTGGGGCGGACTACCAGCCGTACCTGGGCGCCTGGTTCCCCTTCAGCCCGGCTCTTTTCCCCCTGGCGGGCTTCCAGATGGGGGGAGGTCAGTGGAGGAGCGCGGGCCTGGCTGCGGACAGCTCGGACGGGCTGGGGGCAGAGGGTCTGTCCCCGAGCTCGTTAGGGGGCGCGGGGAGCAGCCGGAGGAAGAGGAAGAGGTGTCGCGAATGCGTCCCGTGCCGACGCCAAACAAACTGTGAACAGTGCAGCAGCTGCCGCAACCGCAAGAGAGGACATCAGATCTGTAAATACAGGAAGTGTGAGGAGCTGAAGAGAAAGCCCGGCATCGAGGGCAGGGCAGCGGGGTTTGAGGGGCTGAGGGGCTCTGACTTCACTTTGGGCATGTCGCAGGAGCGCAGTCCTGGGGCACTGGACGGATAGTGAAGTGTAGGTGTTTCTGAAGCAGCGGAGACTGAACGGACACATAAAGAGCTCCTTATGGGGAAGTCCACAGTTGTCACATCTAGGCATGGGACGGTCTCTGGTCCACAGAGCTCGTAGAATCATAATTAAGACACTGGTCCCTGCGCCCATGGAAATGAGGTGACGATGAGCACTGCAAGTACCAAAAATGAACAAAGCACTGGAGTTACTTAAGTTGAAGTACTTTTGATGACCAAGAAGAACTTGGTTTAAACTAGGTATACATTTAGGACAAGATCAGGATTAATCCTTCGGCTTTACAGTTATTTATTCTGACAAAACATACTTTGAGTTATCGTGAATACAGAGTTGATGTCTGTAACTATCTCTTACAACAATTGGATAATACATAATTACCTTCTTGAATTCATAAATGGGAATAACGATCACTTAGGGCTGTAACAAACCATTATTCTGATAAACGTTTTTTCAAGCGATCGTTCTATTGATTAATCGATTGGTTGTTTGGAATGTCATATTTTAACACAATTTGATCTATAAACTTGACAATAGGTATTATTTTCCTCCCAATACAGACTTGTATCATTATAAACAACACATTACTACTGTCTGATTCACAATACATTCGGCTGCTTGTATGTGTTCAAACAGCAGTTAACAATTACTAAAACAATTAATGATATTGAAATAACGCTCGCTCAGTTGCGTTCAGTTGTTAACAATGACAACATCAAACCAGTGGTATATCAACAACCAGTTTGTGTGTCCAAGAGATGATAATAATGTCATTCCTTTTCACCAACATACACATTTTATTTTTTGTACTTGACCCAGATTGTGCTGTTACCATAGTAATAGTAACTAAATTGTATACACTGTCCCATGCCTAGTTCCATAGTTCTTTTGACAATCAACAAATGACAGCAAGACCGAAGGAAACCAATGTGTGTGCATATAGCAGAGCCTGTAAATAGACTTTAAATGTACATAGCTGGATAAAAAAAAAAAAACATTATGTCTGTTTTTTTTACATCCCTTTGCAGTTTGGATGTATCTTTGTTCAAAATAAGACGCCAAATGTTTTCAGAAAGGTTTTTTTCCCCAGTTTTTATGACGTTGCTGCATCAGAAACGAACAAGTTAAGCCTAGGCTAAATTATTTCATGTGCAACTTGTACTGTATAGCTCTGTTTTGAAATAAAAGTGACTGGCTGATAGCAGACGTTAGCCGCATGTGTGGTGTTATATTCATAGGATTCTCTTAAGGAAGACTGGTCTTTATAAAGCACCTATGCCTTCAATCAGGCTTATCCAAACTCAGGCCCAGGGGCCAATTGCGGTCCTCAGTATCATTTTATGTGGCCCTCTGCCTTGCTAACCCAAAGTAGTCATTGAGATCATAAACACAAGTTCACTGTGTCATCCATCCAACTTCAGCTCAGCCAATATAGACATGTCATGACTCTTTCTGAAGTCCGGAACGTCTGGAATTCAGTCGTGGACTTTATGTGTACTTACTTTACTGATGTCGTTTTTCATTATGTCACAAACGTCCGTTAATGGTGCCAATGTAACTGGTGAGATGGTAAATATTTGTCATTCAGCCAACTTCAGCTATGTTATAGATCATTTTAAGGCTCAAAACAGCCCAATGCCAGTCAAGACAGTTTTTTTGCCTGTGATGTCGGCCCCTGGACTAGTCTGGTGAACTAACTCTTGCTAAAATGTTTGGACTCCCCTGCCTTAAGTTGATGCTAGGATACTTTTATACTTCTATTGAGACTTCATGTATGGGTCAAAGTAATTTCATATTTCTCCATACTGTCCACGCATAGTAAAAACAAAGACATTTTCTGCTGGATAAAGTCTATTTGGTGATTATTTGCTGTTCTGGTGAGGTCATTTGTGTAAATCTGAATTAAAATGTATTCCCCCTGCCTGTAACATGGGGACGTCACTTGCCCTTGTTCACAGGCGGCTTTGTACTATAGGGACTTATTTAGTTCCTGGTTTGGCTGTCTATATCACGTTCAATAACTGATGGAACAGGGGCCTCCAATCTTTTGTACATGTAGAGAGACTTTAGGGCAACAGAAAAGAATGTAAGCTAGTCTTTTTGGCAGTCGTTATAAAGCTCTTGTCTGCGTGATAACTGTGGAAGAATTATGGGCAAAACTCATGTAAAAATGCAGCGGATTACTGTATAACCTTAAATTAGTTATAATGAAAACATGTATAGTTAAATTAGATATGTAATTATTTAGTATCAGGGGATGGCAAGCTACTGGTCTCTCCCAAGCTACAGGTTTGATAGAAAAAACGATTTTATCTGAGGCTCAATGTTTATCATCTGCATGTTTTTATATAGCTGTTTTTTTGTTTTAGGTAGAGGGTTGAAAATAACTCAATGATATTTATTTCTGCTGGTTGTTTTCCTAGAACATGCTTTTTAAGGACAAAGATCAGACCTTACCAACCTCTTCTCACTAGGGCTCTTCTTGATTTGTCAAAAAAATAATTTATCGTAATATAATGTCCTATTCATACAGGATTAGTTTTACCTGTGGACATCTGTATAATCTAATTTACTACAGGTCCTTATGTTCAACTAATCCAGAGAAAATTGCCTTTAAAATTACCTAAATAACATACATAATTATGATTTGATTTGGTAAAAGTGGTGTTCATGTAGTAATTTAAACACAACATTTGTAGGCTAGCTTTCTATAGTTTTTCCAAAGTTAGCAACGTTTGGAGGTCCCCCTGAAGCGCCTCTGAGGACCCCACGTTGGGAAACACTGACTTAGATTAATACAGCAATTGCTATTATTATTATTCTGTTGCTGTTGACCTTTTTTAACCAGAATAGTCCCACTGAGAGTTCAGAATCTCTTGTTCAGAGGCGTCTTGGCCCCAGGGGTGGGGGGGGTGGAGCTAATGCACATGGTTCCTGTGGTGGTAGGGGAAACCGGAGTGCAAGGAGGAAAACCTATGCAGACGTGGGGAGAACATGCAAACTACACAGAGAGGTCTTGTCAAACCCAGGACCTAACCAATGCCCCGCCTTCAGTGGGATAAAGTATTTTGAATAGATTCGTGAGGCAGGCTAGTTTTACCCTACAGATGTGTTGTGCTGGTAAATCCTGCTGTAATTATAGTTCATCATAATTAGTTCCTGGTACAGTTGTGGTTCTTGTTCCTTTTTGCTCACACATTATAAAAACTGGAGGTCTTTAAACACATGCTGATCAAATTAAACTGAATACATATAATGTGAGCTGATCGTGGTTTGGAATATATTGTTTGTTCAATTATGTTCTTAGTGGAACATTTGTTTAAACCTCATCTTTTGCGTTTTTTGTCAAAAGGGCTTTGGGCTGTCTTTTCTGGTAGCTCTTTTGTAACAAATTTTGTTGAGTTATGTGTGGATTGAACCAAAACTGGACCAAAAGTAAGGACGGAGGCTGTAGATTGATCGGCCAGTTATTCATCTTTTTTGTGTTCGCTTTAAAATGATGTATAGCATGCCATGGTCGGCCATAACCGCTGTCTGGGGCCTTAAAATGTTTTTGACCGCCTTGAATTAGAGATTCCCGTACTTTCAGTCAGACCAGTGACACAAGTTTTCAAATAGAGTAGTTATGAAATACATATATGACTCGATGGGACAAATAGCTTTAAAAAGAAGGAGAACATTGTGAGTTATTGATGCAAATGTATATGTGAGAATAACTGTTGCCTCTCTGCCTGCGTTTTCTTGAACATATCACAGTTTATGGTGAAAATTGGAGGAAAATCACTTTTGTTTTTTCCCACTTTGCCTAATGTTTAATGTGGTTTACAGATGCTCATGTTAAAAACACATCTCTTTCTGCCATTGTTGCAGTGGGAACACAACCAAAGGAGCCTGTGTGGTTCCATTGACTAACTAAGAACTGGGGCATAATATCATTTTTGTACATACTCGCCCCTCATTTAGTCAGTGGAACGATCCTGTCCACTTCCTGGTTGCTTCCACACTGCATTGACCATGATTTGGCAAGTTAAAACAAAGACGCTCATTCTACCTGATAGTTTACCGAGGCTCAATCAGTTACAAAATGTGTGAACAATCTGAATAGTTTAAAAACACATGTAACAGATGTACAGACCGGTGTCACCAAAAAGGGCCTGGTCTGATTCGAGAGCAGGGTCTAAAAAGTCCTTACAAGCCCCATTTCCACCAGCTCAGACCCTACTCTACTCTGGTCTGCCTGGTTTCTGTTATTCTTTAGTATCTGGTACCGTATCCTAGCAACCGACCCTCAACTAATCAGTAGTGCTGAAAACTAGCCCTGACCCGGCTCCAGTTTGGACCAGGACCACAAATGTGAACCAGCCCAGTGAAATACTAAACACAATTTATTCAATCTTTATCACTTTTAAGAGTACGTAATTGAAAGCAGTTTGAAGATAATGAATGCTAACTGAAGCTAGCAGACAGTGTGTTGCTATGGTAACAGGAACTGGTTCTTCTCTAGTGGAAATTCGACCAGAACCAGCACCGTAGTGGTAAAGGGGTATTATCGAAGGCAAGGACTGATAATGTATATAGTTTAAGTAATAAACAAACTCATATTATCCACCAAAGTGCCACACTACAGACAATATGTGAGATTTCTGTGTGAAGCATGAGTGGTATCTAGAAATAGTCTTGTGTGTGTCGTTGTGTTATAGTTGGGATTATAAAGCACCTAATGGCCTGGAGTCTTATCACCATGCCACAGACGCACCTCCACGCTGCTTTGGCCAAGTCCGGCTCAGGCTGGACTCGCCGCGGTCACATGGGTTTTGTATATGTGGCTGTTTGTTGATTATACACAGTATATGGACATAATCTGTATTCTACAATTATCAAATATGGTAACCGGGCTGTACCCTGACTTGAATCTTTTCCTGGTGGGACCAAAACCCTGGTGAATAATTATAGTTCTAAGTTTTACATCAGGCAAGTGTCAC